CATGTAAAAATCGCCTAATTAAACCGTGAATAACGTTAGGTATACCGTGTATCCGAAGTAGAAATGACATGCAAAAAAAAGCTAAAAAAAGGATCCGGAAAACGAAGCTTTAAAAATAACATAAAGAAGATATCGCAACTATTGTAATAACTTAATAAAAAAAACTTAAACGTAAATATGAGAGAGAACAGCTTTCTAAGTGTAAGAGAGATCCTAAAGTACTATGGAAAACCATTAGCAATTTAACACAGCGAAATAAAAATAAAACGCAAAACAATAAAATTTTAGAGATAAAATCATCTCCTCAAGAATCGACCAATCACGTGAACCACTATTTTGCAAATATTTGTAGAACACTCGCTGAAAACATCACTTTAAAGTACTCACAAATGCATAATGTTAGTGTACCACTTATCTTTCAAGTCTCATCGTTCGTACTTTTAGAAACCGATTCAAAAGAGATGGATGCTTTACTGACGAATCTTAAATCTGAGAGTACCGCAGGGTGGGATGACATACCAACAACATTCTTAAAACTCGCTAAGGAACATGTAGTTCCTGTGATAGCTCATTTGGCATTTTCCCAACTGCCATAAAGCGAGCAATTATTACACCAGTATATACATAAGTCTGGTGACATGGAAGATACATCAAACTATAAACCTATCTCTGTTTTGCCAGTCATCTCAAAGATCCTAGAAAAACTCTTAAATAATCGGCTAATACCTTACTTGAACACATACAAGCTGCTTTCTGACCATCAATTCGTATTTAGAAAAGGGATTTCTACCGAAGATGCCGTAATTAAATTGATTTCTCTTATCGTGAACAATGTGGATAAAGGTAACAAATGCTTAACAGTATTTTTAGACTTGAAAAAAGCCTTCGATACCCTGTCGGTACCTACTTTAGCACGAAGGCTCGAAAACATAGGTATAAGAAGTTTTAAAGGGATCCCCCTTTAAAACTCTTTGATGATTATCTCACTTGGCGTGAACAATGTGTGAAAATTGGGCCCTATGTGAGTGAGCACCGTGACGTGACTTTTGGCGTTTCCCAGGGTAGCGTGCTTGGTCTAACCCTATTCTTATTATATATTAACAATCTATGTTGTATGAAAATCGTAAATGTACGTTCAGTAACAGAGAGAGGTCTTGCCGAGATAAGCAGTTGGTTAAATAATAATCTCTTAACTCTCAATACCACCAAATCTAATTACATAACTTTCTCAAATTATAATAATTAACTACCGGAAACAAATTTTGAAATCAAAATACACACATATTCTAAATTTTCCAACCCTGATTATACTTGTAACATAATAGCAAAAATAGACAAAACAAAATATTTAGGAGTAATAATTGACCAGCGTCTATCCTGGCATGCACATCTTGAACTGATGATGACTAGGATGCGGAAACTTATATGGATTTTTAAAACTCTTAGACATAAAGAGATTATTATTCCCTGCAGATCCTGTCCTGCAGATTCCCTACTAAAGAGCTATACACCCTATGTACCTTTATCTTACCTGTACCTTTCGGTCAGGAAGCTGTATATCCTTAACTCTGTATTAAGATTGCACAAGACGCTGATATATAACCCCAAAAATTGCGATAGAAGAAGAGGACATGTAGCATCAGTAGTACCCATGAAAACGAAATTTGCTAGGAGGCAATTTAGAAGTCAGTCTGCTCAACCCTATAACTATACTAATAAAAAACTTAACATATATGCAACGACCAATCATAATGTGAAAAAATAAGTTACAGCGTGGTTAAAGACGATAGAGTATGAAGAAACCGAAAATTTATTGAAATAAATAGAAAAATTACACCATAGCATAAATACTTTTCACAACACACGCACATACACGTACACATACACGCGCGCGCGCACGCACGCACACACGTACGCACGCACTACACGCACTCATCACACATACACACACACACACACACATTCTCACACGCGCACACACACACACACACTCACACGCGCACACACACGCGCACATACACACACACAACACACACTCTCACACGCGCACACTCACGCGCACATACACACACACAACACACACTCACACACACACACACACATACACACTCACACGTGCACGCACACGCGCACACACACCCGCGCACACACACACACACACACACGCGCGCACGCACACACACACACACACACACACACACACACACACACACACGCACACACACACACGCACACACACACACAACCCGACGCACACACACACACACACACACACACACACACACACACACACACACGCGCACACATACACACACACACGAGCGCGCTTCGTACGCGACCGCACGCACTCAATTTAATCTTTACGTATGCGCAATTTTATATGTATCTAAAATTATTATGGAAGAGCGGGGTCCCCTAACACAGGTATTGATATACTTAAAAGGAGACCCCAGCCTGTATATATTTTTATAGTTAATGTATTTAAATTTAAGATACTGAATAAAGAATTTTGAATTTGAATTTGAATTTCTTATACGGTTAACGTTGATTAATTTATATTTACGTAATGTTGGTTATAGATGAACATGTAATTTATTTTTTCAAAGCTTAAAATTCTAAGTGTTCCTTAGGGTATTACCACATCTAAGCTTAAAACTCACCTCGCGATTTTTGTGATTCCGTTGCGAAATAATTTTATTTGTACTACATACAAATTGTCCGTAACAGTAGCTTCATGATCGAGATATTCAATGAAAAGGACAAATGTAAGCTAGTTAGAAAAATTTTCCATGCTACAAGATAAATTCATCATACTCATAAGTTAGACTGAATTAAGTTTAACACTAAGGAAATACTCGTACGAACTTGTAGCCGACTTTAAAATGAAATAGATACAGAAAGAATGTTGAACAAGTGGTGGACTCTTTTTAGCAGTATATAGTTTGACGAAGACAACGTAAGATTATCCGTTTCTTGTTTATCGTGATTATTTTACTGTGAAGCTGACTTGCTGTTGAATTGCATCCATTATATACATTACAGACTATAAAAGTCTACTGCTGAACATAACTAAGCCTCTCCCATAGAACCTCATCGGGAGAATTTTGCTATAACTTTCACGCTTGGTAACTGCAGTCTCTCATTATTTTGAGTTGTTATCATCAGAGAGATGCTGCTGCCCACCTTCTGTTTTAATTTCCCTCTGACGCCTCTTATGACGTACGCGGGACGAAATGGGGTAGGGGTATTCTCACGTCGTCACTACAAGGTAAATCCCTCTGACTGATAATATTACATACACTTATTTTTAAATGTATGTTTTACTTATATTTGAACCTTATTATAATATAAAAACTGTGATTACGCCCCGTGCAGTGGCGGGTAAGAATACTCACTACCCCATGTCCTGACAGCATAAAACGCACGCACCCTGAGAACTGACGAGGAGATCCTGGAGCTAGAAGAAGAGATAAACAATTTGCGCCATCCGAGGCCAGAAGAAAGGGGAAGACACGGTAATCCTCGAATCCAACAACTTATTTTATCACCAGGAGGGCGACCATCTGTCCCGAGGAGTTATCGGATTTATCGTCCACAAGTGTCTCATTAACAACGTTGTAAAGATTAGGAGTGTGTTAATGAGGGTTGCGTAACTTATGTTCAGAATCACCAAACGGGATTCACTGAAGGTCATACAGGTTTACGCAACCAATCTCGGCACATCCCGATGGGAGGTGGAAGAAATGTATGAGAATATCTCTTAAGCCATACATTCCTCCAAAACTCACTATACGGTGTTGATTAGAGACTTCAACGCAAAATAAGGCACGAGAGAGAACGGTGAGCTGAAAGGAGAGACATTTGGAATGGGAAAATGAAACCCAAGGGGCCAGCAGCTGGACGACTTTATGAAGAGGGATTCTGTATGATGAACTCTTTCTTCCAAAAGTGGCCCCACACAAAATGGACCTGGTCGAGCTCCGACAGTTCGACAAAAATGAGATTGATTTTATTATGACGACCAGACGATAACTGTTCAATAATGGCCCAATAATCGCAAGGGTGAAAACTGGCAGCGAAACCTGAATGATGAGAGGCACACTGAGCCTAACGTGAATTGAACTAAACGTGAAGTTGGCGTGCTCTAATCCAAAGCCCCGAAAACTTTCAGCTCGAGTTACAAAATCGTTTACAGTGCCTAGAAGACCGCAATGAAGTGGACGATATAAATGACAGGCTTGTCCATGCGATCAGAACTAAGTTCTGTAAGATCTGTAGCAGAAGAACACAAAAACTCTCCGATCACACACTTAATCTCATGGTTGTTAGACGGGAGATGAAGCTGAAATCTTCAGCAGATTTGACAGCTTAAAGGCAACTGAACAGACAGATCTACAAATGCATCCGGTGGGACTTACGCAACTTCAATAAAGCTCGTATTGTAGAAGCGATCGAGCGGAACTAGGGCTCCAAAGTCTTTGCCAGAGATCTGTCTGGCTGAAAGAGCCAACTGTTGAAGCTTAAGACCGAATGTACAGTATCGTTTCCGGGACACCTGAGATTCTGAATGAGATTGAGACGTTCTTTGGGTAGCCGTATACGCCATCGTTGGAACCACACGCAAGGGTGAGTAACGATGCCAGAGCAAGTCTTATCCGACACTATTTCGATGATAAAATATCGGTACTATGAATGGACAATATCGGAACAGTCATATATTCATGGCCTACGTTAGATGGTTGTATAGAGGTAAAATATCTTAGAGCAGAGATGAACAAATCGCCAAACTGCTTAAAGAATGTGGCGATTACAGCCTACGATAGGAGCCCCGGCCAGCAGTCAACTATTTAATAAACTAAGTAAGAAACTGAAAACAGAATTGAGTAAAAGATGATGACTGAAGTAGAAGGAAGGTGGCAGGCAAAGGGCAGAAGTGGCAGGTAAACCGCAGAAGTGGCAGGCAAAGGGCAGAAGTGGCAGCAGGAAAAAGGCTTACATACCTGTATCCTGTCGGCGCCGAAGTGTCCCTGAGAGATGAGCTCAACTCCCACGGCGGCCACGCTCATGAGCTGCGGCTCGTGCGCCTGCACGTCAGCCTCCAGCGCCTTGTGCTTCGGGATCAGCAGGTAGACTGGAAACACAATTTTTTATCCTATTTTTTTCGCCAATATGTCCTTACAATTATAAGAACCGAGATGTAGGGTGGGAATAAGAACCGAGAATTTGAAGGTCGTGAGTTCAAATCCATCGTTCGACTACTGGCAACGTGAATATTAGTAATATTAAAAGCGCCCACAGTTTCAGACGTCTCGAACCATTTATGCTGCTCCACATGTTATCTTGGTATTGTACAAGTGACATATCAAGATGGTTATACCACTATTTATTTAAGGCCAAAAGATTTTTAGGGAGTCGTTTACTTTTATGTGTCAACGGCAATAAAAAAATTGAAATTAAATATATTGCGTTTCCATTGCTCAAACTTAATCATTATTCACCAGTATAAAATGTAAAGGGGCTAAGTTTTTTTCGTAAATTTTAGAGAACGCGAGCAGTTTGGGGTCGAATATGCATGCTCAATTGAAAATATCGAATGCAATTTGAAATAAACAGATTCACATTGTTACCTTTTAACTCTCTGAGATATGAAAGAAGACCGGTGTCCAGCAGTGTGACGTATATAGGCTGTAGCTTCATTATATTAGATCTCGTAACTATTTACAGCTTATGACATATATGAGATAACTTATCATATATTGGTATTATTATATTGTTAAGAAACAGAGTTTTACACACTTGTGGAACTTAATATGCCTACTGACCTGTGATTAGATCGTGACCAATGTCGTCAACTGATACAATCTGCCCCTTCTCTTTGATCCAGTTCTCTTCATCGGCCATATCCCAATAGAAGTGCCACAGTTTGCGGCTGTCTTCTAGACGCTTCCTACGCACAAGGAAGAAAAATTTTGAGAAAAAAATTATGGTAAATCAAAGGAAAATAAATTAATTATATAATATATATCTCTATCAAAACGAAAACATAGAACATAGGATTGCAAGGACGATAGCCGCCCTCGTCTTGTTCCAAAAATCTTTGCGGTTGACCGACAACAACCTAAAATTTAAGTAATAAAAGTTCTACAGAACTTGTTAAATCAAGTCAAAACAAGTAATTTTTACCAATTAAAAATATATAAAATGAAGCCATTGTTTTGATTATAGGGTCAATATAAAGGAATGTTATAAATTTTTAAATTAACAAACCTTGACACGTTCACCCAGTACATTTATATCAGCCTCTACTAGAGGATGCTTTTGCAGTAAATCTTCTATGTCCATCAGGTGCTTGCCGTAGTCGTCCGTCACCAGCCGCATCTTGATCTCTTCCATGGAATCTAAGATGTAGAGCATTTCCTGTATATCATTTACAATATAGCCATTAATAACGAGAACCAGGTGTACTTATGTAAATTAATCTATTAAAATTTATCTATTTTGACCTATAAGCTTTCAAAATTTCCGACATACGCATTTTTGTACAACCTTCTTGGTATAGTATATTTCATTACGAGTGCGGAAAGAGTTCCGACAAATGTCTACCCGAGCCGAGGCGCAGCCGAAGGTGAGGGTTGACAGTCGGAACAAGTCGCAATAACGGTTCCACACGTGTACTGAACAACTATTTTAATGCAGTTACGAAAAATGAAGCCATTTAATAAAATAATAAAAACACAATAAACTCAACTAACTTGGGTATTCATTTATATGCACGTTGTTCCTTATTTTGAGCATGTTTTTATCATCGAAAACCTTGACCATAACGTAGAAAGTTTTAATTTTGCTGAAAGTTCGGAGAAGTATGCCAACATAATATTTTCTGCAAAACTATTTGCTTTTTCTCTTCTCTACAAGCAATAAATTCGTCGTATGTAGATATGTACCAAGAAATCCAATCCCAATTCCTTCTATAATTGTCGTCCTATTTCCATATTACCTTTTCTTTCTAAAATTCTTGAGCGTCTTGTTCATCAGCAACTTAGTCTATTTCTGAATCTAAATAGCCTCTTAAATACATTCCAATCAGGTTTTCGCCCTGGCCATAGCACCGTCACTGCTTTGATTAAAATCACAGACGACATTCGAGCAGAAATGGAAAATCGGCAAGTTACTATTCTTACTCTTCTTGATTTTAGCAATGCTTTCAACATAGTCGATTACGACATTCTTCTAGCTATGCTCCGTTCTATTAACGTATCTCCAGCAGCAACTGACTGGTTTCGTAGTTACTTGTTTGGACGCCGTCAATGCATCCGTATTGAAGACACTTACTCCTCGTGGTGTTCTCTAGATGCAGGCGTACCACGGGGTGGCGTGTTGTCTCCTCTCCTTTTCTCAATTTTCATACGCTCTATTACTTCAGGAATTTCTTCACTCTACCATCTTTATGCAGACGATCTCCAAATATATTCCCAAACAAGTATTGAAAATCTTTTATCCGCCGTGCTGTGCACAAATCGTGATCTCACAATCATTTCTGAATTTTGCACATCTTATGAAATCAAGATTAACCCTAGTAAAATACAGATAATAGTGATAGTTAGCAGCAAACTACTATAAAAAATTACATGGCATACGCTGCCCCTTGTTTATTTTGAGAATGCTGTTATTCCTTATAGTAAGGTTGTAAAAAATCTAGGGGTTCTAATTGACAGTACAATGTCTTGGGCACCTCAAATTGAACAGATAAGCAAGAAAACGTTTGCAGCTTGTTGTCTGATACTCCAAAATTTCCTGCATATTTCTACCGAAATTGCGTTAGCACATTCCATTTTGCTAACTATTTTAGACAATGCTGATATATGCTACACTGATATTACCGTGGAACAATTAAACAAGCTTGAGCGTCTTCAGAATATATCCATTCGATTCATATTTGGTTCACGCAAATATGATCATGTATCCCAGTCTCGAAATCAAATCAAGTGGCTCCCTATTCGCCTTCGCCGGGATGTTCATATACTATCTTTACTTTATTGTGTACTGTTTGATCCGAAATCTCCAAGATACCTAAAGACGACACATCGAAAAGGCTATCGCCATACTGATCCGAGTGAATACATAATTTCTATAAAAACTTGAAAAAACGCCGTCATAAGGTCTAAAATAGCGTAGGGTCCGCGACGATTAAAAGCGCTTAGAAATTGTCAGAATCTTAAAATATATTTTTTTATTATTATTGATTTAACTAATCAAAATAATGAGCAAGTAAATTATGAATATTGATGTTATGAATATATTTGAGTGATTCCCAAGCATATAGATTAAGTAATTTCGTTATAATTTCAACTATATTGATTTTTTAGAAGTGTTTTCGCAAATAATTATGATCGAGTCAAAATTATATAATCGTGTTTTTGAACAATCAATTTCAAGATAAAGACATGAATTTACCTATATCAAAATTCCACTTTCGTTAGTGGTGTCATAGTCCTATACTATTCGATGAAAGGAGGTGCATTTTTTCACGGTGTCGCCTTAAGGAACAATTTCACTATCGACATGAATTTCATAACCGCAATTTGCGTTCAGTGTATAGCTTAGCTTTAAATACTCCTTACAGCGTAACTTCATTTTATAATAAATCTTTTACTTCACTAGCAACGCGACTTTGGAGTTCATTACCACTTAACATTCAAAAAGCGCAATCTTTACAGTCGTTTAAAAAATTACTTAAGGAGTATTATTTGAAGTTCCCGTCATAATAATAAATTATATGTATTTCCTCTCTTCATATATACTTGATTTTTTTTGTTAAATTTCTTCTGCTGTATATGTTTGAATATATTAAATTAAAATTATTGTACATATAATTATATGTATATATCTATGTATATATATTATAAGTATGTATATAAATATAATATATAATCATTAAATATTGTATATATTAATAATATATTTTTATAAATATTATTTTTAATATTATTTTTCTGTTTATTTCATATTGCACGTTGCACCTAACCGTCAAAATATAAAATTATAATATTATCCTTTTATGTTCGGGTTGTCAGGCAGAAATCGCTTAAAGCGATATGACCACCGTTTGTAGTCATAAGTTTTTCGTTATTGTAATAACTTTGTTAAAATGCAATAAAGAGTTATCTATCTATCTATGTAGCGACTTTTTGACTATTCCGGTAAAATATTCTCCGAAGCATTTTGTGCAATTATACTGAGTTCCGGTGGTATTAATTTAAATAAAATATCGTCGAAATTACTCATTTTGTGCAACAAACAACTAAACTCGCAAAGGAAATTTTTGGAAAATGGCGCCATGGAAAATGGAAAATTTTCTTCATCCATTCTGGGTAGGCAAAGGGAACTATGCCCATACAGCCAAGTCTTCAGTAGATTGTTTTATTGATATAAAATTTAATGAGATGAAATGAAATGAAACCTAACCTAACTCATTGAATCAAATCATTAAATCTGCTATTGAAACAAATTAGTAGCTTCTCTTTAGAAATATTTGCTGGTTGTTTTTTTTTCTTTTTAATAGACATTATTTTGACAGTTGGGAAAGAAAACGCACGAGTTCGGAAAAGGTAAAGAAAAAGCTTGAATATGTACCCACATCCCGAAAGCTAATCCCATTCATTGCCACTTAAATTTTATAAACATCACCTGGGTGCCACGTTAATATTTTCTGTGGATTACAGAAGAAAAGGCGTAATTAAATGTGTTCTTTAATCACAAAAATCCCATAAATAACAAAAACCCGTCTAAAAATGGTAAACGCACCATACATGGTGGTGGCACTGGTAAGAGAAATTTAATCACTAGTGCCATTCAACATGCCGTTTGCGTTGACGTTTGGATAGTATTATGTAACATGTTCTGAGAGACTGATGCTGGATATGTCAATATGCTGCTTTATTTATATAATCTATGTTTGTTTATAAATAGGTGTAAGTCCTTGTTTTACACACATAATATTATTTTGTTCTGTCCTAAGTTTTTGTATCTTACGTATTTATAACTACTTAGTAACTTGAAGCATGCGGTGTATACCTATTGTTGGTGTACTTAATTAAATAAATAATTTAGTATCAGAATTATTTAACATCTTTGCTCCTTATCTGATTAATGTATACCTATTTACGGCACGCAATAAAAACCTCTCTGGATGACCTTTGAGTGGGTTGATTATTTTAATATACATAGGTTCATAAACAATAAAAGTGAGAGAAACCCATGAAGATAATTATTTATTTTTAAAAATAAAAAAAAATTACAATTAATAGTTGTGGTACCATTTGTACAACTAGTTTATATTTTTCACGTACCTACTTTTTAAACATAAAATAAAAAAATATACCTATGGATTTTCTCTATTTTTCTACCTATGACCTATGGCCTTGGATACTATAAATGCTACTGCGGAAGTAATACAAATAAGTATCTCTGTGGATTCATAATTTAAACCTTATAAAATACGTAAAATGTGACGGCCAGTTTATAAAATATTTAGTAATTAAATACATTACGAATAGTAAATTTAACTTTATGAGTGTAAAAAATATAAAAAATACGAGACACGCATAAATTAAGTGATTTGTTCCTTGTGCATCATGAATAAAACTATCCAATAAAGTTTTTTACTGCTATGCCAACGAACGAACCGTATGCGTGCATGTGACTTTATTTTTCAAAAACACGATGAAACAAGGGAAAAGAAAGAAAAAATTAAGAATACTGATTACTTTTATCTAATAATTTACTAATATATAATGAACACTCGTTAAAACTCAAGTTATTTTAAATTCAAAATGTACGTTATTAGTACCAATCTTTTTTTCATTGTCAAAACAAGAATGACAATACGAAGCAAAAACCATCGGTGTTTCCACATTTAAAAATTATTTCTAATAGTTAATGTTGCCATAGATTAAAATAAATTTCTACCGTTTTTATTTAATGCAAAAAAAACCTCAAGAAGTCACTCAACATTTACGGTGCGTTGGTGGCATGACGTAGTAATCTCGATCAACGCAAATGGTGCGTTGGTGGCAATGAATGGGCTATACGTCCCTGCAATACGCCACTTTCTGAGCAACTGTATTTTATAAAAAAATTACGATTGCCGACGTTCGTTATATCATAAACTGTTAGGAGTTAAGACTATAAATAATTATAGTAAGTTGCATTTTACTATAGTGGCAATTATAATATATTGATTGTCGTTTTTGATGGCCTCGTGCTTCTTTGCAACTGCTTTTACCGCCGCTAGGTCGAAGTTGTCCTGGCTCATCAGCCGATGGTTCTCCGATAGCTATGTTTCGCGCATTTGTGCTTTGCGGTTGAATCTGCGTTGATAAAATATCATATTATATAATTAAAACAAAACAGAAGAAAAATATTTTCATTGCAACTTTAAAGTTCAACAGTTTCTAAGAAACAATTTTTTTTGAAGAGTTATCAGAGCTCGTTGCTTCTTGTAAATTTATTACAATGTCGTAAAGTTTACTTGTTAAATTACTATTACAGGCAATTACTTAATTCCAAACACATTTTTGCCCATTTTCGATAAAAACCAATATACAGGTTACACAGGTGAGTAATTGGAGTACCTCAAAAGAAGACCTTTATTATTAGTGAATTGAGTGTAACGACAATCGCAAAAGCAAATTATTTTCGATTGTCGTCACTTACAATATAAAACCTAACAGCTTTATGACTATCGCACATTGTGACGACTCTGCAATAATTTGAATCAAAGTAAAATATTGATATTGGTGTTTTATATCCTGTCATAAACAAATTATTTTCTTAAAATTAGTGATGACATTTGCTAATAACATTGGGTTATTTCTAAAAAAACACTCATATATATCTGAAATCTGAATGCGATAATTTGAGACACATAATATACGTTTTTCGTTTATTGTTCAATTTTGTATTTGAGTGTTTTCCTTTATAATAATAGCACCTTAAATACAGACATTATTTTAATTCCATACAATTGAAACTTAATGTTGTAGTGAAGTGGTGTGTTGGGGCTTTCTCTGTTAAGCGTTATTGTGTATCTAAATAAATAAATAAATGATTCGCGATGAGGCATGTGAGGCAGGCATGAGGTACATATATACCTTGCCTCCAGCTGGTCCAGCTTCTCCTGGCGGATGAACTCCTCGCGCAGCGCCAGTTCACGCTCATGTTCGGCCTTCTCGAGGCGCTCCCAGGCGCGGTTGATGTCGTGGATCATGCGGCCCTCGCACGGCGTGTAAGGCCGCTGCACGAACCTGCCGACACCGTGCCCCAGTGTAATAGCCAAATACTAAGCAGCAAACAACTACCGGCCTCAAATAAATTTTCAAATGCGGCAAAATGAAGTTTTCCCATTGACTTATATATTACTAGCGTAAGGATCGGGCCGACCGAACAACTAAAACGGACCAGTGCGCTGGCCCTAAAATAACAATTTAGGGCCAACGCGAATCGGTCGACAGTGGTGCGCGCACAGGACAGATTTGCCTGTCACAAATATGTCTAGTTGCGTGGTAAAGGAATGCAATAATTATGATACAAAGATTTAAAAGTAACATGGAATATCGTATCATCGGTAAATAACCTTATATTCATTTTGTTACAATTAAATTGTAATATAAACGCATTTTTAAAGTTTTATTTTACAGTTAGTTTAGTTACGTTACCAAGATTATGCCAGGGTTGGATTCAGACCCTCAAAATATTGTACATAGAAAATAAAATTATACTATTTTAAAAAAATTATATCACGTTTGACGTTTTATGTTTCTTTTTTCCAATGTGCCGAGATTTTGGCGTTACGCGTCTAGTTTATGTATACGTTTCGTATTTTGACGGTTTTATTTTTATTTCTGATTAATATTTGTCTAAGAACTTAGTGTAAGATAAATTTTGAATATTGGTACCTAACATATTTTAAATTAAATAAGGGTAAAATGAAAAGAGTACAAAAGAAATCATATCTGCTTAATTGAATCTGAAAATCTGATTCATAAAATATTTTGAAATTCTGTTTTCAAAACGATTGCTTCTGGAGCATAGAGTTTTTATTATAAATGCATCGATCGGTCATCGATTGACCAGAAAGGGAACTAATTCTAATTTTATTTAAAAAACGCGGTGCTCATGAACAATACAGAAGTTCTCGATATCGTATGGTTAATATTAAAATGTAAAAGGACTCAATAATAATACAAGACGAGCTTTAGGTAAAATTATGGTATTTTTACTTAGATACTATATATACACTACAAACTATGAAATAATGGTACAATTAGGATAATTATAATACGAAATCCGACCCTGGTTACGTCGTGTTTTGATATGACGTTTGTATTATGACAGATATGATACTTTTTCTTGTATGAAAAAGTTATTTATTAATTTATTTATTTATTTAGGTAATCATACAGCGTTTTTATCTTATTTACAATACATATTATCATATAGTAAGGCCAATAGAGATTACACAATTTTTATCAACTAATAATTAAGCGTGAGTGTGTGCCTGTGTGTGTGTGTGTGTGTGTGTGTGTGTGTGTGTGTGTGTGTGTGTGTGTGTGTGTGTGTGTGTGATTATGCCCTATTTTTGTTTATAACATCACGTTTGAAGCGACTCTTGGATAGGTTGAAAATATCCAAGTCAGCGTAAAACTTATTATAGTTTTGAACAATACGACATAAAGTAGAATTTTTTGCGTAATTTGTTTTTGCTCGTGGTACGTGAAATAATGGCGTATGTCTAGTTCGCTATTTAGGTACTAGTATCGATATTTTAGATAACAGGTCTGGACAATCTATGTTACCAGACCATAAACCGTGTAGCAAAAACATATCGTGTTGAAGTCTTCTGAGCTCCAAGGTATCTAAGCGGTAAAATTTGCAAGCATCTTCGTATGAAGCAAAACTATTATGATCTTTTGATGAGATAAACTTAATGAACAGTTTTTGAATTGATTCTATTCGATGCTTATGCTTCGCATACTTTGGAGACCAGATTGTATTAGCGTATTCGAGAACACTCCTTACGTATGCAAAGTATAGAGCTTTAATGCAATTAATACTGCTAAAATCATTGCAGACGCGCTTTATGAATCCAATTTGCTTGTAGGCTTTGTCAACAATGCTATCTATATGCTCATTGAACGTTAATTTTGAGTCCAGCCTGATACCAAGATCTCTAACTGATGATACACTCTTTATGGATTTATTGTTAATTGAATAATTGTAATCTATGAGCTGTTTCTTGCGACTGAAGGTTATTTTGACACATTTTTCACTATTGATAGTTAATTCTATTTTTGCTGTAATAAGTTTCTAGGTTTTTTAAATCGTTTTGAATCAGAACACAGTCATCAATTGTTTTTATTTTTAGATAAATTTTTTTGTCATCTGCGAACATTAAATAGTTTGAATGATAGAAGCAGTCACCGATGTCAAATAAATAGGCGTTGTAGAACAAAGGTTCGAGTATTGAGCCTTGTGGGACACCAGATGTTACCATAATAAAATCACTACGAGCACTACCCAGTAACACTGCTTGCCTTCTGTTACTTATGTATGAAGTTACCCATCTGTGCAAATCACCATGAATACCCAAACTGTAAAGTTTACGTAAAAGGATGGCATGATCAACACGGTCAAATGCTTTTTCAAAGTCCTGTGTATATTACATCGACCTGCTGCCTGTCATCCATGCTCATATATATATAATTGGTTAAAGTAGCTAAATTTGTTACAGTTGATCTTTTATTTATAAAACCGTGTTGTTCAATTGGTATTGATTTTAAGATTATGGGACTGATGTGTATAAAGATAAGTTTTTCAAAAATCTTTCCAAATGTGTTTAATATGGAGATTGGGCGGTAGTGCTCAATTCTGCTTTTTGGTCCACTCTTATGTATAGGTATTATTAGAGCTTCTTTCCACTTACTAGGAAATGTTCCATAGATGTTAACAGACATATTAAAGATTATTGAGAGAGGCTTGGCCAAGTGTTTTGCACATTTATGTATAAATAGGGGAGGTATGCCATCGCTACCAGGCCCTGTATTAGTTTTAATTGTATGTAGAATACGATAAACATTTTTAGTACTAAAGTATATATTATGTAATATATCATTTGATTCTACGTTTGGAATATGGGAATAATCGTAAGAAGAAGAAGGTTTTTGAAAAACACTTTCAAAGAATTTATTAAATCCCGCACACACGTTCGTTTCGTTTGTGTATGATTCATTTCCTAATTTTAATGTATTAGGGTATGTAGAGTTGCTATTACGTATAGATTTTAAATAAGACCATAATATTTTAGGATCTTTTTTTAGAAGGCTTTGCATTTTATCTAAGTAACGCTCGTGGCACTGTTTCTGTAATTTCTTTTGTCTAGTACGTAGTATGCAAAATTCGTCATAATCACGGGGATTTTTATATTTTTTCCAATGTTTATGTTTTAAGAGCTTTTCTCGAATAATATGCCTTAGTGATTTAGAATACCAAACAGGGTAATTAGATGAACGGGATAAACAAGTAGGTACAAATTTATCAATTATTAGGTGTAGCTGGAAATAAAAATTTTGAACTACGACATCAATTGAGTTACCAGTTAACAAGGAAGACCAGTTGACTTCTGAGAGGGCTTTATTTATTTTATCGTAATCAACTCGGTTAAAGTTTAATTTTGATCGTGGTTTATTTTTTAAGCAGGGTATTAGCAGATCAGATGCGTCGAGCAGTAAAGAAGGATGGTATTTATCCTCAGATACAAGATATATTTGAGAACGAGTAACGTCTATGTTTATGTTACTAAACACTAAGTCTAGTACGTTGCCACTATTGTTGCTAATAATATTATGTTGATTTAGCCCTGATAAGTTGCATAGATCAGTTAACTTTATTGTAGCATTTTGTAATTCTACTGGACTTTGCTTAAGCATTACGGGACCTGAAGAGGACCAAGATATATTCGCTAGGTTGAAGTCATCGGCAATTATAAAATGATCATTTGGACATTGTGTTATGATTTTTGTGAGCATTTCTGTAAAATTATCTAAACGCTTTGATTGATAATTATCAGGCGGTATATAAACAACTCCAATGTTTAAATTACGTCTGTCTTGACAAATTAAATATTTTCCTGGTATTGTTACCCACAAACATTCGAGATCTCTACACATCCATTCCGTCCATTCTTGAGCTTGTAATTGTGTATACGTACAAATCATGACCCCCCCACCCTTCTTTTTATGCGAAGATGTTTTATTTCTATCATACCTAAATATGTCGTACCTATTGTCACACAATTCACCGTTGTAAATACCATCAGTCAACCAAGTTTCTGTAATGAGTATTATGTTGAAGTTATTACAAATTATACTGTCTCTAAATTGCCTAGTTTTAGTTCGCAAGCCACGGACGTTTTGATAGAATATGTGCATTGAGTTATGAGGCACTTTTAGCATGATTTAGGTACCATTGTGTTGTAATTAACTTATAAAAATTATATTTATCATAGTAATTGATAGTAATGTAGATAATAAGTATATTATGTAACAGAAATAATACAGGTTGAAGAGTCATGAGGGATGGTTTTGCAACAGACAGGAATTTTATTTTTATACAAGGTAAGAAATGGTAGCTTATACATTTCTTTTGTAGGGCATATTGGTGTAAGTATTCAGTATTGATGTAAATTTTGAAAGATGTGTGTGAATGTAAGAATTTGATGTATGTAATAATGGATGTGTAAATCGTAAGTGTTGTTTTATGTGTTAAATATGTAACTATTAATATTAAAAAATAGCATGCTAATACTATCAAAATTAATCTTATCATACAATTTTTAATAAATCTTTTTCGGAATTTATAGTGATAGCGGGAGACTCCTCGTTTTTCCTTAAAAAAATGTGGCAGTTTCTGACCCAGACAAACTTATATGATTTGGCCATTGCTCGTGATTTTACTATTTTCAAGAGTTGCTTATTCTCAGGGGTCAGGTGTTCGTTAACAAAAAGCCTTTTGGCTGGACCACCCAGTCCAATATCGGAAGTAGTAATTCCTTTGGTTTTTCGGAGCCCTGAAATAATATTATCTTTAATAGTGCGATTCTGAAATTTGACTACAATGTTTTTTGGGCGACCTCCAACATTCTGCATAGGCTGAACTCGGTGCGCAAAAACAATTTGATCATCCGTAAGCTTTATTCCTGCATGGCTGGCT